ATTGAGTTCTCCATATATAAAAATGCAGACTTCACATCAAGTTGATAGATTGACCAATCATTTTGTGCAGCTAAGGATATAACCAAGCATATGGTATCATGACGAACCACAAGGGCAAATACTTCTGAATAATCAATACCATATTCTTGAGTATAACCTTTAGCTACTAACCTGGCCTTGTACTTGTCAATCTCTCCATTTTATTTGAATTTGGTCTTGAATATCCACTTGACTCCCACTGTTTTTTCTCCTTCAGGCAAGTCAATCAACTCCCACGTATCATTCCTTTCAATAGCTTGTATCTCCAAGACCATGGCTTTTCTCCACTTTGAACTCTTCACAGCATCATCACAAGTAGTGGGATCATTCCCACCAGTCAAAGCAATTTGAGCAATGTTCTCATTATCTAAGAGCTCATTACCGCTCACATAATCTATCATCCAACTAGGGGGTCTTCTCTGCCTTGATACATTTAGTGAAGCTTCAGTAATTCTTGGTGAATCGTGTCCAACAGGTTCATCTTCTACTTCTCTAGATGTGACTTCTTCAACACCATTCATTGTTTCAATTTCTTCAAGATCAACACCAGCTCTCTTTTCTTGTTTATTGTTCCAGTCCCAACCATTAGCTTCATCAAATACCACATCTCTACTAATTATGATCTTTTGAGTCTCTGGATTGTACAGTCTGTAGGCCTTTGACTCTTCACTGACTCTGAGCATCACACATTTTGTGCTTTTATCATCAAGCTTGGTTCTTAGATTGTTGGAGTGTGAACAAAAGCCAGACAACCAAAAACCTTAAAATAATTCACTTGAGGTTTTTTGCCACTCCATGCCTCCTCTGGTGTTACACTCTTCACAGCATGAGTAGGACATCTATTTAGGATGTGTGAGCTCCAATTCACAGCTTCGGGCCAAAATTTCTTTGGACCTTCATTCTTGCTAGCATGCTCCTTACCATGTTCATAATGGTACGATTTTTCCTCTTGACCACACCATTTTGTTGTGGTGAATAAGCTGCAGTTAATTGCCTGTGTAGACCATTTTTCTCACAGAAATGAACAAAATCATTGGAAGTAAATTCTCCACCCCTTTTGTTGCTGTTGGAGATTGGGTTGACAAGTCCACATATGTCAGAATGCACCAATTCAAGTATTCGTGTGGCTCTCCAATTGCTCTCCTTAGAAAATGGCTCACGATGTTGCTTTCCCACCATACATTCTTCACAAACTCTTGCAGGAACTTGCAGCGAAGGAAGACCTTTCACCATATTTTTTTGTTGGAGTGCTTTGAGACCATTGAAATTTAGATGTCCAAATCTGAAGTGCCACAACCACGTGTCCTCTTCTATTGTGGATTTGAAACACATTTGCTTCTCAGCTGCCGATTCAGTTTTGAGTAAAAACATGCGGTTGGAAGTCATATCAGCTTGAATGATCAAACCCTTGTTCGGATGATGAATCTGACAAGAGTTCTTTTGAATCAAAATGACAATTCCTTTTTCTTGCAACTGACTAAGACTGATTAGATTGCTTTTTAACTCAGGAACATAAAATACCTCAGTTATACAGTGCTTCACTCCATTGACTTCAATCCTTATGTTGCCTTTTCCCATGACACGAAGACTGGAGTTGTTTCCAAGCTTCACATTATCTCTGAAAGATTCATCCATATTCGAAAACAACTTCTTACTCCCACTCATGTGATTGCTGCATCCAAAGTCCAAGTACCAGGTGCTGCTCATTTGATCACCTTCGTCTTCAACATATGCCATCAGCAACATTTCTTCCTCAGTCTCAGCCACATTAGCCTTGTACTCCTTCTTCTTCTGAGGACATTCATACTGAAAATGTCCAAGTTCATGACAGTGGTAGCACTCCACGGTTGATTTGTCAAATGAAACTTGTTGACCTCTCCCTCTTCCACGACCTCTGAAACTGCCTCGACCTCTTCCTCTTCCTGGTGAATAAGTCTCTTGACTAACCTTTAGAGCTTGCTTTTCCATTTCATGACAAGTCATCCTTTGTTCATGTACCAGCAGACTACTTTGCAGTTCATCAATTGAAAGGGCATCAATATCCTTTGACTCTTCAATTGAACATACAACATAGTTGTACTTAGGTGTCATAGACTTGAGAATCTTCTCAATCACAGTGACATCTTCCATTCTATCTCCATGTATCCTCATTTTGTTTGCAACAGTCAATGTTCGAGCAAAATAGTCAGTGACTGTTTCTCCATTCTTCATTTGCAACATCTCGAACTCTTCGCGAAGAGTTTGCAATTGTGCACGTTTGACTCTAGCCGTGCCTTGATACTTTTTCTTCAAGGAATCCCAGATATCCTTTGCCGTTTCCTTCTTCAGAATTGTCTCCAAAATAGCTCGATCAATGGCTTGAAACAAGTAATTCTTGGCCTTCAAGTCTTTGAGCTTCTGATCTTCTACGCTTTTGAGTTGAGCTTCTGTCAACACCGTTCCTTCTGCATATGCTGTGATTCCATTCTCCACGAGACTCCAGTATTCTTTAGATCTTAAAAAATTCTCCATTAACATGCTCCAATGATCATAGTGACCATCGAAGCGTGGGATTGATGGTTGAACAAAGCTGCTTCGTTCAGTCGACATTGATACTTGCTACGGCAAGAGTTGCTGCTTTTCTTTGCTCTTCAGACCCCAATTTGGAGCTCTGGTACCAATTGTCAATATCTAGCTTTTAATTGAGAGAATGCAATCAATTTATTGAATGGAAAGTGGCTTTTAAATAGCCTTTACAAAACAGAAAGCAGAGGAACACGACCCCATGACTAACAGTCCCTGAAGTCAAGGGATCCTCCTAAAGAAAAATTCAAACCTTATCTACTTCCTTATAACAAGGTTTATTTCAACTAAAACTAAACAACTTTAACAAATAGTACATAACAACTTTTCAAGCTCTACCATTTCTTTCTTAATATTTGCTGATAAGGCGATTAATATCTCTGCAGCTTCTTTCTTGATCTGGAGGTACTAACTCTAACTTAATCATTAGCTCTCTTATACTTGTTTGTGGAAATTTTTTGGACCTAGCGTTATTTGCATATATGCATGTTTTGATAGGTTTGCAGGTTTTGGATAGGGATATGGATTCTTCTTCTTCTTCTTCTCTTCCTTTTCCTGCTCCCCTTCAAGAAAAGTACGATGTGTTTCTTAGTTTCAGAGGTGAGGACACACGCGATGTTTTTACCAGCCATCTTCACGCGGCTTTACGTCGGAAGCAAATTGAGACCTACATAGATAATAAACTTGAGAAAGGAGACGACATTGGACCTTCCCTCAAAGAAGCAATCAAGAAATCAAAAATTGCACTAGTCATTTTCTCAAAAAACTATGCTTCTTCCACATTTTGTTTGAAAGAACTTGTGCATATACTTGGATGCAAGAAAAGCAATGGACAGATTGTTATACCCATTTTTTATCGCATAGATCCATCACATGTACGAAAACAGCAAGGAACTTATGCACTTGAAGATCGTCCACTTAAGCGCATTAGGGATGAGGTGGCCAACTGGAGGGCTGCTTTGGAGGAAGCGGCCAATATGTCTGGGTTTCATTATTCCAGCACAACAGGGTAACTAACTCTCTAATTTGTATCAATTTCTACTTTTTATTATTTGATTCATACTCTACTCATACTATTGTTTGTCTTTCATAACGATATTTTCCAGGAGGACAGAGGCCGATTTTGTTGAGAAAGTTGTTCAAGATGTTTTGACCAAATTGAATCGCAAATCGTCAAGTGATTTGAAGGGTCTGGTTGGGATTGAAAAGAAAATTGAGGAAATTGAGTTGTTATTATGCTTGGATTCACCAGGTGTTTGCTGTGTAGGTATTTGGGGCATGGGTGGTATTGGCAAGACCACCCTTGCTGATGCTGTATTTCACAGGCAGTCCTGTAAATTTGAAGGAAGTTGCTTTCTTGCAAATGTCAGGGAGAAATCAGAAAAAACGGATGGGCTAAATGACTTGCGCAATACACTTGTTCGTGAATTATTAAAGGATAAAGATGTAAATATCAACACTCCGTCTATACCACCTCATATACAAGACAGGCTCAGGCGTACAAAGGCGCTCATTGTTCTGGATTATGTGAATGCTCGAAAACAACTAGAAGTTCTTGTTGGTGATGATGATCGGTTTTGCCAAGGAAGTCGAATCATTATAACTGCTAGAGATAAAGGCCTACTTGAGCAAAAAGTTGACCCTGCGAAGATATTCAGCGTTGAGGGATTAGGTGCCGAAGAAGCTCTTCAGCTCTTTCATTCGCATGCTTTTGGAAATAAGTCTCCGACAACAGAATACACTGAGTTGTCAAGACAGGTGGTGGATTATATTAAGGGCATTCCATTAGCTCTTAAAGTTATGGGGTCCTCATTCCGTCGTTGCAAGAGCAAACAAGAGTGGGAAGTTCAATGGAAAAAAGTGAAACGAGTTCCAATCGGAGAAATCCAGGAAGTATTGAGAGTAAGTTACGATGGATTAGATGACAATGAGAAGGAGATATTTCTTGATATAGCATGTTTTCATAAAGGCCGTAGGAGGAATGATGTAGAAATAATGTTAGATGGTTGTGGTTTCTTTGGGGCAGTGGGAATCAATGACCTTATTGATATGTCTCTCATATCAATTTCATATTCCTGCGAAAAGTGGGAAGATAAGTTAGAAGCACGGATAGAGATGCATGATTTGGTGCAAGAAATGGGTAGAGCAATTGCTCGAGAACAACACAGTAGGTTGTTCATTGGAAAGGATGTCTATCAAGTATTGACAAATAACCAGGTAGTTTAATTATTCACATTTACAATAAACAAGTAAGATTATTCCTACAAATGTAATTTTGTATATTATATTTACATTTATATTTTGCTTTTGATTTGTCAGAAAGATGGACATGTTCAAGCAATATCCTTTGACTTGTATGAGATTAAAAAGCCACACTTGGAATTGGAACATGCAAACTTCAAAAAGATGTATCAACTGAGATTCCTACGTGTCTTCAATCGTTATTGTCGGTCAATTGTTTCTCTTGATCTTCCCAATTCTCTTAGATATCTTAGCTGGGACGAATAACCTTTCAAATCTTTGCCATCAAAATTTTCTGCTCAAAACCTTGTTGTCCTTGATATGTCATCCAATGAAGTTGGGGTGCAACTTTGGAATGAAAACCAGGTATATTATATATGCTTATTTTAGTTATTGTATAACATGTGGCCTAGAAAGTAATAATCTGCAAACTAAGTTATTAATTCTTGTTATTTCTCTTTAATTTGTTACAGAGTCCAGTGAATTTAAAACGGATCAGTCTTCGTTTTTGCAAATACCTAACTGAAGTCCCAAATCTCTCTCGGAGTCTAAATATTGAGCATATAAATCTGCCAGGCTGTAAAAGCTTGGTTGAAATCCCTTCGTATTTTCAACATCTTGGCAAGCTTACTTATCTTCACCTTGGGCGGTGCAAAAAAATAAAAAATCTTCCTGAGATGCCATGCAATCTTGAATTCTTAGATTTGTCTTGGACAGCAATAGAGGAATTGCCTTCATCAATTTGGTCTCACGAAAAAATATCTCACTTAGATATTAAATATTGTAGAGACCTTAAAAGTCTTCCAAGCAACACTTGTAAGTTGAAACTCTCGGGTTCTCTTAGTCTAAAAGGCTGCATATCTCTTTGCGAGTTTTGGGAGCTTCCAAGGGATACAACAGTGCTAAAGTTGAGAGATACAACAATAAAAGAATTGAGGAATACATCAATAGAGTCTGTTGTTGGTCTCACTGCAATTAAACTGATCAATTGCAAAAGCCTTGTGAGTCTCCCAACGAACATTTGGACGTTGAAATCTCTGGAGAGCCTTGATCTCAGTGGGTGCTCTAACTTTCAACACTTGCCAGAAATCTCGGAGGCTATGGAACATCTGGTGTTTGTAAATTTATCATGTACAGATGTTAAAGAGCTGCCCCCATCAATTGGAAATCTAGTTGCGCTTCAAAATTTAGATCTGGGTAGCACCAAAATTAAGAGCATACCTGCAAGCATCAAACAAGCTACACAGCTGTCTTGCCTGTACCTAAGGAATTGCAAGAGCCTTGAATTTTTACCAGAGCTCCCCCCATTGCTGCAATGTCTTGAAGCAGAAGGTTGCACGTCACTGAAGACAGTGTCAAGTTCAAGCACTGCAATCACACAAGGTTGGGAAGAATATATATTTTCTCGAGGGCTTCATGAGAAACATATATTTTCTAATTGCAGAAGGTTGGATGAGAGTGCACGAAGCAACATAATGGGTGATGCACAGCTCAAAATTATGCGAATGGCAACTGCGTCATCAAAGTTTAAAGAAGACAGAAGTGAAGAAGCATCATATGATTCAGATAAGGAAGACAAAATTGAAGAAATATCATATGATTCAGATGAGGTCTCTCTCTCTCTCTCTCTCTCTCTCTCTCTCTCTCTCTCTCTCTTCTGTTGAAGAAGTTGCTTTTCTTTTTCACAAGTTTAATAACTATGATGTACATGTCCATGGTACAGGAATTTTTTGGCAAGAGATCTTTGGTTGCCATTAGATGTTTGGGCTATGAAATTCCAGAATGGTTCAACCATAAAAGTGAAGGATGTTCAATAAAGATTGAGCTTCCTCGTAATTGGTTTAGCACAGATTTCTTGGGTTTTGCTCTATCTCTTGTTGTTGCAAACAAGAGAAGCTTGGATCCATCTTTTATTAAGTATTTCGGGCTTGAATGCAAGTACAACTTCAAAACTAGTAATGGTAAAAGCCATGAAGTCAGCCATCCTTTGTGTGATCCGGGATTGCCAAGGACTATTAGACGCGCAGATTCACATGAGGTGTTTGTGTGGTGGTATAGTAATGTCTTTGAAGAAGTTGTGGAGGGGGCTCAAAGCCCCACTGCGTTTTACAAACTTTTTACTGAGGTCAATGTTGACTTCACCGTAATGGATTGTTATGGCTATTCGGAGGTGAAGGTGGAAAAGTGTGGGATATGTCTGTTGTATGGCAAAGATGCTGAGATGATAAAGCAGAGGGCTTTGTAGATCAAGCAGATATCCCTAAATTCAAATTTTCATTTTATTTGAGCTGTTTGCAAGACTTGTGGTTGAGGATGCTTTTGAGTTTGTTAGGCTGAGGGATGTCTTTCTTGTTTTAACCCTTCGCCCTCTCCATCGCCAAGCTTTTTGGCTGAGGATGCTTTTGAGTTTAGTAATTTTCTTCATTCAATTCAACTATTAAATTGTTAATAATGTCATTTAAGTAATTATCATCAGTCCTAACCTATACAAAAGTATGATCCAATCCAACTCCCATATTTAGAGCTATCAAGGTTTGATGGATAAGGAATGTAAATATTTGAGATTAAAAAAAATAACAAGTTTCGTTTTATATCAAGAGGAAGAAAGCGTGAAAGTCGAATTCTTTCGATAAAGCGACCAAAAAATTTATTTAAAAAAATCTATACGTTAGAATCATCAATCTATAGGACAAATAGTCGATGGATGCATTAAATGCAACTGTTGTGCTCGTAGAAACTTAAAGATGGGCTTATCATGGAATTTCTGGGTCAACTTTAAATGTAATTTTCACACTTTTTTCCACCAATTATGGGGACAAAAATTGGAGTGGGGAGGGAAGCTTCCGCAAATTGAAAGCTCAACCGCTGAAGAAAGAGGTAGCGGAGAAGACGGCTTCCGATGATTCAAAATCAGAGATTATTCTGCAATAAGACACCAGTCCAGTTTTTTAGTGTAAGCCAATATCCATAACTCCTTCTGTCAAGGTACCAATTTTTTCCTTTTATTTCTCTGATATTTTCTTGTTTTTCCGCTACCTTATCAAGTAAGTCGATGAAAAATCTTATCTTGAGAATTGGGTATTGGATGTTTTGTAAATTTGAAATCCACATAGTTTTGGCTTTGGGTCGATGATTTTCGATTTCTGGAAGTAGAGTTTTGGCCCTGTTCCTTGCTGCACAATAATTTGAAAGATAATAGACAAGTAATTTGATTCAAGCCAAAGGCTTTGACAGACGAATAGAACGATCCTAGTAATCTGGTCGGCTACAAGAAATGTTGAAACTAACATACGAGCCTCCAAAATTTTGATGAGCTTACATTTACTATTATGACAAGAAAATAATCATGTCACTTACAATGCAGGCAGTTGAGATATAATTTTTTTTTAAAAAAAAAATTACAGTTGAGCTAATTCGGCGCATGATAAACAGCATTCTGATATGTAAGTGTAGATTTCACTTATTCTTTTCAGTTGGTAATTTACAAAATCTCTTGAGTGCCACTAGTTGTTTAATTTCCTTTATCATTTACTGAATATGCACAAAGCTAATTTTTGGACCTAGCGTTATTTGCATATTTTATGCATATATATGCATATATGCATGTTTTGACTTGTAAGTTTGCAGGTTTTGGATACGGATATGAATTCATCATCTTCTTCTTCTCTTCCTTTTCCTGCTCCCCTTGAAGAAAAGTACGATGTGTTTCTTAGTTTCAGAGGTGAGGACACACGCGATGCTTTTACCAGCCATCTTCATGCGGCTTTACTTCGGAAGCAAATTGAGACCTACATAGATAACAGACTTGAGAAAGGAGACGACATTGGACCTTCCCTTAAAGAAGCAATCAAGAAATCGAAAATTGCCGTAGTCATTTTCTCAAAAAACTATGCTTCTTCCACATGGTGTTTGAAAGAACTTGTGCATATACTAGAATGCAAGAAAAGCTATGGACAAATTGTTATACCCATTTTTTATGGCATAGATCCATCACATGTACGAAAACAGCAGGGAACTTATGCACTCGAAGATCGTCCACTTAAGCGCAGTACGGATGAGGTGACCAACTGGAGAGCCGCTTTGGAGGAAGCAGCCAATATGTCTGGGTTTCCTTATTCAAGCAAAAAGGGGTAGCCAACTCCCTAACTTGTATCAATTTCAACTTTAATTTCATTTCATTCATGCTTACCATTGTTCGTCTTTCATAATGATATTTGCCAGGACGGAGGCCGATTTTGTTGAGGAAGTTGTCCAACATGTTTTGACCAAATTGAATCGCGAATCGTCAAGTGATTTAAGGGGCCTGGTTGGAATTGAAAGAAAAATTGAGGAAATGGAGTCGTTATTGTGGTTGGATTCAACAGGTGTTTGCTGTGTAGGTATTTGGGGCATGGGTGGTATTGGCAAGACCACCCTTGCTGATGCTGTATTTCACAGGCAGTCTTCTAAATTTGATGCTGCTTGTTTTCTTGCAAATGTTAGGGAGAAATCAGAACAAACGGATGGACTAAAACAATTGCGAAATACACTTCTTGGTGAAATATTAAAGGACTCCTTTAATATCAACACTCCATCTATACCACTTCATATTCAAGATAGGCTCAGGCGTACAAAGGCGCTCATTGTTCTTGATGATGTGAATGCTCGAAAACAACTAGAAGATCTTGTTGGTGATGATGATCGGTTTTGCCAAGGAAGTCGAATCATTATAACTGCTAGAGATAAAGGCCTACTTGAGCAAAAAGTTGACCATGAAAAGATATACAATGTTGAGGGATTAGGTTCTGATGAAGCTCTTCAGCTCTTTCATTCCCGTGCTTTCAGAAATAAGTCTCCAACAACAGATTATGTTGGGTTGTCAAAAAAGGTGATAGTTTATAGTAAGGGCAATCCATTAGCTCTTAAAGTTATGGGGTCCTTATTCCATCGTTGCAGGAGCAAACAAGAGTGGGAAGACCAATGGAACAATTTGAAACATTTTTCAAACGAAGAAATCGAGGAAGTGTTGAGAATAAGTTACGATGGATTAGGAAAAAATGAGAAGGAGATGTTTCTTGATATAGCATGTTTTTATAAAGGCTATGAGAGGAATTATGTACAAAAATTATTAGATGGTTGTGGTTTCCGTGGGGAAAAGGGAATCAATGATCTTATTGATAGGTCTCTCATATCAATTTCAAAAGTACAACGGAGAGATTTGCAGTCAAGAGGATTTATAAAAATGCATGATTTGGTGCAAGAAATGGGTAGGGCAATTGCTCGAGAACAACGTAGTAGGCTGTTCAATGCAGAGGATGTCTATCAAGTGTTGACAAATAACCAAGTACGTAGTAATATTCACATTTACAAATAACAAGTCAGATTATTCCTATACATGTAATTTTGTTTAAATATTTTTTTGTATATTATATTTACATGTATATTTTGCTCTGGATTGTCAGAGAGATGGACATGTTCAAGCCATATCCTTTGACTTGTCTAAGATTGAAAAGCTACTCTTGGAGTTGGAACGTGCAAACTTTGAAAAGATGTATCAACTGAAATGCCTACGTGTCAGTTGTGGTCTTCTCAAGTACCAATTAATTGTTTCTCTTGATCTTCCCCATTCTCTTAGATATCTTGCATGGAACAAATATCCTTTGAAATCTTTGCCATCAAAATTTTCTACTCAAAATCTTGTTGTCCTTGAAATGCCGTCCAGTGAAGTTGGGTCGCAACTTTGGACTGAAGACCAGGTATATTATATATGCTTATTTTAGTTCTTGTATAACATGTGCCCTAGAAAGTAATAATCTGCAAGCTAAGTTTTTAATTCTTGTTTAATTTGTTACAGAGTCCTGTGAACTTAAAATGGATCTGTCTTAGTGAATGCAATCATCTAACTGAAGTCCCAAATCTCTCTCGGAGTCTAAAAATTGAGCATATAGATCTGTGGGGCTGTGAAAGTTTGGTTGAAATTCCTTTGTATTTTCAACATCTTGGCAAGCTTACTTATCTTGACCTTGGGGGCTGCACAAATCTCAAAAATCTTCCCGAGATGCCATGTAATCTTGAAGTCTTACTTTTATCTGACACAGCAATAGAGGAATTGCCTTCATCAGTTTGGTCTCACGAAAAAATATCTCACTTAGATATTACATATTGTAGAGACCTTAGGAGTCTTCCGAGCAACAGTTGTAAGCTGAAACTCTCGGGTTCTCTTAGTCTAAATGGATGTGAATCTCTTTGCGGCTTTTGGGAGCTTCCCACGAATACAAGGGTGCTAGATTTGAGTGAGACATTATTCTTATCTTCCAGAAACCTTGTGAGTCTCCCAACGAACATTTGGAAGTTGAAATCTCTGGAAAGCCTTGATCTCAGTTGCTGCTTCAAATTTCAAAACTTCCCTGAAATCTTGGAGGCTATGGAACATCTGGAGTTTCTAAATTTATCAGGTACATCAGTTAAAGAGCTACCCCCATCAATTGGAAATCTAGTTGCGCTTCGAAAATTAGATCTTGGTGATTGCAATAACCTTGAGGTTTTCCCTGATGACCTCTTTTGCTTAACCTCATTACAAGAGTTAGATCTGAGTAGCACCAAAATTAAGAGAATACCTGCAAGCATCAAACAAGCTGCACAGCTGTCTTGCCTGTGCCTAAGGGATTGCAAGAGCCTTGAATTTTTACCAGAGCTCCCCCCATTGCTGCAATGTCTTGAAGCAGAAGGTTGCACGTCACTGAAGACAGTGTCAAGTTCAAGCACTGCAATCACACAAGGTTGGGAAGAATATATATTTTCTCGAGGGCTTCGTGAGGAGCATATATTTTCTGATTGCCCAAAGTTGGATGAGAATGCACGAAGCAACATAATGGCTGATGCACAACTCAGAATTATGCGAATGGCAACTTCGTCGTCAAAGTTTAAAGACAAAATTGAAGAAAAAATTGAACAATCATCATATTATTCAGATTATTTCCATGATGAATCAGAGAAGGTCTCTCTGTCTATCTTTCTTTCTTTCTTTCTCTCGCTCTGTCTCTCTCTCTCTACCGCACGCACACACTCTGTCTGCCTTACTCATTCTGTCTATTTTTTTCACGAGTTTAATAACTATGATGTCCATATCCATGGTACAGGAATTTTTTGGCAAGAGATCTTCGGTTGCCATTAGATGTTGGGGATATGAAATTCCAAAATGGTTCAGCCATCAAAGTGAGGGATCTTCAATAAAGATTGAGCTTCCTCCTGATTGGTTTAGCACAGATTTCTTTGGTTTTGCTCTATCTTTTGTTGTTGGCTGTGCTGCACAGAAGATTGGATGCAAGTACAACTTCAAAACTAGTAATGGTGAAAACCATGAAGTCAACCATCCTTTGTTTTATGATTCACAAATAAATGAACTAACCTTTGTTTATGAAGATTCACATGAGGTGTTTGTGTGGTGGTATAATAATGTCTTTGAAGAAGTTGCAGAGGAAGCTCGAAGCCCCACTGTGTTTTACAACCATTTTACTGAGGTCAATGTTGACTTCAACCTACTGAATTATCACCGCGAACCCCTTCCGGTGGGGGACGAGGTGGGGGTGGAAAAGTGTGGGATATGTCTGTTGTATGGCAAAGATGCTGAGATGATAAAGCAGAGGGCTTTGTATGCCCAAGATGACGAAATTCAAAATTTCTTTTGATTTGAGCTGTTTGCTTTGCAAGCCTTGTGGCTGAGGATGCTTTTGATTTTGAGTTTGTTACGGTTAGATATGTCTTTCTTGTTTTAACGCCCCATGTAAGCCGTGTAATTTCCTTCATTGATTTCAAGTTTTCAATTGTTAAAAAGTCAACAGTACTAAATTGTACATCAATTGGATTTCTGGAGATGAAGAAAGGGCCATCGTTGGATTCAATGCCTATCATAGAACACGTACTAAAAGAAGAGCGAGGGGAGAAATTGGAGAAAATGAAAGAGAGTGAAGAAGTGAAAAATCCTAAACTTCCTTTCATATAAACATTCGTGCCTTATGGCAAGAAGCATCAGAGAAAATGAAAGGAAAAATGAAAACAGCAAAAGATGTTCCAGTAGCTTTAATTTACAAGTTTCAAAATCCGAATAGGACTATTTACGCCTCCTGAAAGACACATGCTTTTTATTAAGAACAGGCGCTAAACGATTCTGGTAGCATTTTGCATTGCACTTCCTTGGGACACGCATGGTATGATTTCAACGTCTTCTGCGAGAGATGATATAAACCAGTCCACATCAAAGATACACGAAATAACATTATAAATACTCTGACTATTTTGCTTACATTGACCTCGACAATAACGGTTAGATATGTCTTTCTTGTTTTAACGCCCCATGTAAGCCGTGTAATTTCCTTCATTGATTTCAAGTTTTCAATTGTTAAAAAGTCAACAGTACTAAATTGTACATCAATTGGATTTCTGGAGATGAAGAAAGGGCCATCGTTGGATTCAATGCCTATCATAGAACACGTACTAAAAGAAGAGCGAGGGGAGAAATTGGAGAAAATGAAAGAGAGTGAAGAAGTGAAAAATCCTAAACTTCCTTTCATATAAACATTCGTGCCTTATGGCAAGAAGCATCAGAGAAAATGAAAGGAAAAATGAAAACAGCAAAAGATGTTCCAGTAGCTTTAATTTACAAGTTTCAAAATCTGAATAGGACTATTTACGCCTCCTGAAAGACACATGCTTTTTATTAAGAACAGGCGCTAAACGATTCTGGTAGCATTTTGCATTGCACTTCCTTGGGACACGCATGGTATGATTTCAACGTCTTCTGCGAGAGATGATATAAACCAGTCCACATCAAAGATACACGAAATAACATTATAAATACTCTGACTATTTTGCTTACATTGACCTCGACAATAGTTCTTTAACTGTGATATGTTGAAACTGACCTGGAATCCTTCCAAAACGATTTCTGGTGGAGCTTCAGAACAACAAGAGTAGCATTCAAGATATAAGCTGCAACAACAGCATCGGTTATCGTAACAGAATCAGGAAACAAAGCATCAGAGACAGAATCAGCAACAAAAGCATGCATGATTAGAAGCCAGTCTCATCACTATTCCCTCATGGAATGAAAAAGTTACAAAGTCCTATCAACTAGTCCTATACAAGAGCTACTTATAACCAGATGCCAAAACGAAATAACTATCAACAATTAGACTAATAAAGAAGTCATTTGGAATCTGAATGCATAACCACAAGGTTCTTTTAAGCCTTTATATGAACAAATTAGAACAATAAGTTAAGCCTTGAATAGAAGAAAACTATGCAACTCTAGCTCAATCAAGAAACTCACCCCTCTTCTTTGTTGGTTTAAGCCTCCACTAGTAGGAATCAACAAGTAGCGATTCAAATGCGTTTTCACATCAGCAGCTGCAACATTAAATTCAGTGCATGGAATGAACAAAACAAGACATCAATCAATTCCAGATTAAGAAAAATTATCAAGTTCTAATTGAATTTCAGTCTGAATATCTGATCATCCGCAAGTTAAGAGAAACTTGAAAGCTTATTCGTTGCTGCAACCATGGAACTTATCCGATTTCCTTGTGCTCCATAAATCTCGACCTGAACTCCCTCCACTCTCCTCTGGAGTTAGCGGGCATCTGCCATGTCTTCGTACCTTGTCAGGGTTGCTTTCCTGCATGCAATATAACCCCAAATATTAATCTCATTATAATGCAGATATACAAATTATACAAAACAGGTCACTACTGAATGACATAATTCAAGACATCAATGAAGCCTTGCATGTAAAGTTTTACAAATTCCAACTTACCTCAAATGCAGAGGGCAATGAAACGCCCAGCCGGAACACTAACGTCGCCGTTTCTCAGTATTGACAAGTGGTTTTGACGCTGACGCAAGAGTGGGAGGATTCGACCCGGCCCAT